GGGCGGAAAATGAGTGAGCAGCTGCATGGTGCTTAGTTGCTGGCTGGGGTTAAACCACAAGAGCAGGCTTGTGGAGTTGACACTGGAGACTGAATCTTTCATGTGAAGAATGAGCAATGTGTGTGTCTCTGTGATACCTACTGCTTTTGGAAAAGGTGGCAAATGTAGGACTCTGTCAGCTTGCAGTCTTTCAGCATGTTACCTGGATATTGCTTTGCTAGTCTGGGTAGAACCAACTGCTTGCTAACTGCCTTGCACTGCTGGAAAGAGTTACTGCATGGTGGGGACTGCTCTAAAATGCTCATGGTCGGGATTCTCCTCATACAAGTAGGAGACGTAAACTCAGCCCATCCACTATATTCTTAAACATTCCCTAAGCAATCTCCCTGGAGGGAACATCAGAAATTTATTTTTTTTTTTAATCACTAATGACTTACAGTTCTGCTTTTGCTGAAAAAAAAAAAAATCATACCATAAACCTACCAATGTAATGAATCAGTACACTATGTGTATGCAATACATATGAACATATGTAATATGTACAAATATATGCATTGCATTAGCAGATACAGCAATCGTTTAATGCATCGTCACTCAAACATGCTGCAGGATGCCACATCGTGCACATGAATAAACTGTAAGTGTGTTTTCCCAAGCTGTGCTACATGGCTGTGGATCTCTGTCCTTGCCTGGTGGCTATGTGCAACACCTAAAGGGAGAGATTGCATAGGTTCAGACTTTGCTAGAAATGAGACTATATGGAGGGGAACTTCACTGCTGAAGGCTACCGTATTGTTGCCTTTCTTCTTAATTATGACAGCTGTTAACATTCCCTCAAAAGTGAGACTTAAAGGTGCAGTGCCAGCCCCCCCACCCCCTTCCCAACTTATCTGAGAGCACAAAGTTCCTACAACAAATTTCATGGGTTTCTTCTGTAAGGACCTTGAGGCCAGCAAGTTGCTTATGGCCACAGCTGAGCTGGGATTGGCCATCCAGCTGTGACAGCAGCAAATTCCACTAGCCACGCAAAGCTCTTCTCTCCACGTTGTATAATCACTCATATACCTAAATTTATGTGTATTTTTTCCCTTTTTATTCCAGCCCCTGGGGAATTAGGGAGTTAAATTTTATTTAGTGTCAGCCCAATTGTCTGAAACATCTTTGAGTGTGAACTGGGGAGTCCCTGGGAGAGGGCTGGAAGTCCTCCAAACTCCTAAGACCTGCAGACTTTAGGGAGCTGTTGCACGCAGTTTTTCAAAGTGGATTTCTTTGCCAGATCAGCTCTGAAGCAGATTAGAGATCATCGTGATGAAAGCTAAAGAAGGCTGAACGCTAAAGAAAATACAACAGCTGCTGGAATGTGCAAATGTGGGGTCAATGCTGTACATGACTGAGGACAGAGATCCAAGAAATAGAAGTTCATGGGCTGAGACTCACTGAAATGATATCAGTTACAGGACTGTTCAAGGTAACTTCTTCAGATGAGCTTGTATATAGGACATCAAAAACTAAGTCTCTTTATAACCTTGTCACATCTACATGCAATTGTTGCCTTTCAGGTACTGGTTTGTGCCTTTGCCTTTTGATCCTAGCTGATACCAGGCCTCTGTCCTTTCTTTGCCTTCCCTTCTCTGTGTGCGTCTGTCTAGTGGTCCCATTGATTTGTGTATTTCAGAGAAAGGTCTGGCTGGTGCTTGAATCGCTTTGCTTCTGTTTTCATTACAAGATGATGCCAGCCACTTCATATTGGGCTGACCTGTTCCGTTGGCTTTAGCTCAGACTAGCTCTACTATTTCACGTTCACATAAGCCTTACTGATCTGGTTTATCTTAGTCCAAGCATGGCAGCTGCAAATAAACAAAGTATTTGCTAGTCGTGAGCACAGAGAGACTCAGCCATACAAACTTGTTGGCTCTGGAAGTAAGCCTGAAAGTTAAATAAACCAGGAGAATGGGCACTCCCTCTACTAGCCCTGGAAAAATGCTTGGCTAAAAAGGAGATCTGGGCTTCTGTTCTCAGTTGCAGCCTTTTTGTTAAGCTCCTAGAAATCCTGGGAGTGGGTTCCAGCTCAGCTGGATGATTTTTTTATGATCTCTGGGATCCAATTAAAAATAAACAAACACATCATCCAGCAATGTCTACTTTCCCTGCTTCTAGCTCATGCCTCTTTTGGGGAGTTGCCTATCTCCAGGATTCTGAAGAAGTATCCACTTTTTCCCTGCTTATTGCAATACATCCATAAATAATACATTTCCCTCTCTAAATTACATTTAATTCTTCTACCAAGGTTATTTCAAAAGAGTTAGCAAGCACAAGTAAAATCCATATCCCCTCTTTTCCCTGTTTTCCTACAAGCTCTCCTGCTTATTCAGTTACAAAGGTTGATCTCTGGGAGTTTGGAGAGACTGTGTCTATCTCCCAGTGAGAGACAGACAGCTTTGCCTAAGCAGGGATCTGCTTACCTTGTCATTTTACTTGTAATTCAGCAGCTCAGAGGTCACTTCTGCCTTATGTTACTGAAGAACCAGAGCAAAAAGGATGTATTTTGCATGACTCACATAACCCACATTTTCTGTAAACTTTAATTATTTTCTGTGTGGCGTTTGCCTTATGCAATGAAATCACTGCTTTCCTGGTGCAATTTCTTTATCCCACTGGTGCAGAGCTGTAAAGACAATTTAACCTTTGACGACTGAGGCTCAGCCACTGCTGCAACACATGGTATTTATAATCCTACCGCTTGATTAGGTGCTGAATGGTGTCTGGAGAGGCATATGTGATAATTCAGTTAACTTGAGTGGCTCTGTTTGAAAAAAGATAAAAAACTAACTAAATGAAAAAAAACCCAACCCTGAGAAATTATGTCATGGACTCGTTCCCTAAAACCCACTTCTGTCCTGGGGCTTGTACCTCTGCTAGGTACTTTAAGTAAGCAAACTTCAAGCTTTTAAACAGTATGCTGAGAATCGGTGCCATAAAAGCCTCCAAAAAGTTTTCTAAGTCTTGATTTTGCTTTTAACAGGCACCGCTGGTACTGAAGATGTGAAGAGAGACAGCAATTCTCAATGAGCTATGCAATTATGTCAGCTAGAAAATTATACTTCATTCGACCTCCATAAAACTCAGTCCCTATTCTATGGAGGCTCACGTGTTCCTCGCAGTAACGCCGTGTCTCGTGTGTTGGCTAAACGTTTGGACAAGGATCATCCCAGGCCCAGGAGGGCCGATGGGTTGCGGTGCCGTGGCTGTGCCGAGGGATGGCTGGAGGGCGGAGGAGCCTCCTGGAAGAAAGTGTGAGGCTGGTCCCATCCTGCCAGCCTCCTCCCCACGCGCCCGCCCACGCCGTCATGTCTAGACTGCTGCCCCGCACGGGGTGAGGACGCTGAGCTCAGCCCTTTCAAGTCAAGGAAAGCTCCTGTCGAGGGAATTTTGCCTCGGAGATGAATGTGGGCTTAAGCATCCAGTGGGTTTATAAGCAGTCTGTATCCCTAGGTTCTCCATGCCTGCGTTCTGCTGGCTCAGGGCCCCGAGTGGGTCCGTGCTTTGGGACGTTATCGCTACCGTCTGGCAGCTGGACAACTTGCATCTCATGAAGAAATTTCTCTGCGATTTCAGAACCGGTTTTGTTCTGACCCAGGGTGAGACACACAGCTCTAAAGAGTTTTATGGGACAGGAATGCCATAAAAAGTTGAAAGCCAAAAATAACTTTTCTCCCCCTCCCTCTTTTCACCTCCTACCCTCCAAGCCAATATTCACTCAGGGCATGGAAAGGAAGGGAGAGGCATGTGAAGGCTGTCAGAAACAGCAGTGGCTGTAAAACTTTGGGGGAGTGGGCTGCAGCATCTGGTTTGCTTGCTGAGTTCTGAAGAATTTAATCAGTAATAAAGCTTCACCCAAACGTTGTTTTTGACAGAACTGTAACTCCTGTTGAAAATCACTCTTGGCCATTTTATCGGCTGTAATCAGCACCTGGACGAATTTAAGAAGTAATAGCTACATTCTAAATGCAACCAGCACTCTCTGCAGGAATAAAGTTTGAAGAAATAACACTTCCCCAGGAGATGGAGCAAGAAGATAGTGTTGCAGATGTCTTTAAAAACAGAGTCCGATGCAGTCAGGGAGAGAGAAATTAAGTAGAATAGTTTCACAGCAAGATGCTGGACACAGAGAACCATCAGAGCACAAAGTGGGACCCAGCAGCAAAGACCAGAAGATCAGTTTGGGTTGGGAGGGACCACTGGAGGTCCCAGGAGCAGCCCCTCTCCCCGCAGGACCAGGCTCATAGCTGCATCAGCTTGCTTAGGGCTGTCTGGCTGAGCCTTGAACATCTCTAAGGACAGAGATCCCACAAGTTTTTTGCGTCCCTCATGGTAAAAAAAAAGAAATTCTCATATCTAATGGGAATCTCCGTGTTGCAACTTGTGTCTGCTGCCTCTTGTCCTGTCACAGTGCACCTTGGAGAAGAGTCTGCCTCCATCCACTCTATGGCCACTTACTAGGTAGTAGGTGGCAGCAGCTGGCTCTCTCTTTAAGCATCCCAGGTCTCTCTGCCTATTCTTACTTGTTTCCTAACACTGCTTAATGTTTTATATTGCTTCCAGAGACTAGATCTGGGTCAGGAAACAGCATTAAATGTAGGTTTGTCCCACAAGCTGAATCCCCGTGAGCAGCCTGGGGAGTGCCAGAAGTGGAAGGAGCATGTGTGGGAGGAGGGGTGTCATGGGGAGAGGGGGGAGACTCCTGCTTTAGACCTTTGGGTTGATCAGCATAAACCTTTCCTATGGCCTGGAATTGAATGGCACTAAATCTTGATAGCCACCATCTGGAAACTTGTGTTAGTGATCGCTGCTGGAAGGGGTCAGCTTTTATGCCTTGTAACATTCTTAATAGGTGCAGTACAGTCATGTCTCACAGGCACCCTTTCTGTAGAGGTTGGTGGGGTTTTTTTTTTCCCCTGGTGTGGATGTTTCTCAGAAAGTGTGCATGATGGAGGACCAGGTGTAATAGTGTACCAGTAGAAACAGCCTACTGACCGACTACAATGGCTCAATGTGGCTTTCGATCCTTTTTTTAACTGTTTCTCTGCAGCTGTGATCATTGCAGAAGGTGGTCCTGTGAAGCGGGAATGGCCTTGTGCAACAGGTCCTGGGAGTTCAACGCCACTTGTTTGCTGGTTGGTAACTGTTTGCGAGAGAGGGTGGAGGTCTAGGGATACTTTCCAGAAACAGAAATAATCAGATGCTTGCACCATGGTTCAGTGTTCAGTTCCTATTCCACTGGCTGAAAGAGTCTACTTAAAAAAAAAAAAAGAATAAATCTTGAATTGTACGGCTCTTGACATCTGAACCACTTCTCTTCTGGTTTTATATGAAAGTGGGATATAAGTTACAGTTGCTTTGGGAATCCATACTTCAGACTTTCTGACTTCTGTGAGTCTAATTTCTCAATCTGACTATTTCATTAAACATATAAATTGAATGAGGCTATAAACACCTGCAAGTAAATGTCTTAATTGTTATGTCAACAACATAAGCATGTATGGCTTTTTAAATGGCATGAAGGGCCAAATCTTCTACCAAATGTCGTGGAATCTAACTATACAAATGAAAAACTTCTTGCCAAGTCTTGCTTAAATGTAGCACACATTTTTATTACAAAAAAAAAAAAAGTGAATTGCCAAGGTTTATTTTTCCTTCTTTAGGTGATGTCATTAAACTATACTGACAGGGGTGGTAGGAGAAGGGGAACCCATGTCCCCGTTCTGCAGCCTGTCTCTGGTAGCATCTGCCTCTCTGAAAGCCAAGTGCACCTGGACAGAGGTCTGCTTGCCATCAGTCTCCATGCCTTTGTGACGGTGATGCTGGCTGCCACAGCAAGGATATACACCATGCTTTCCTCTGTAGCATCTGTAGGGTTAAGAAAGGACAGGCGCAGTGCAGAGTCCTTGTCAGCTATGGGTACCTGCAGCTGTCTTTGTTGCCTCCAATAGTTGGCCCCCATCTCACCTTCTCTAATGCTCTTGCCCCTCCAATTCCCTCTTTACTGCTGCCTCTTTTTTGTGGGACTTATATGAGTTAGGGGTTATACAGGAAAAAAATATGTTGGTTTTCATCTGTTGATTGAATTCAGCTACAGTCCATGGGAAAAATGTTTTTGAAAGTCATAAACTAGAGTGTTGGCTCAGGCTGACTTGTGGTGTCTGCCTCTTGGTGAAATGCAGCCAAATCATGCTGTTGATTAGGAACAACAGTCCTTGATCTATTTTGATCCATCTTGATAGGTTTCATAAGCACAGGTTGGGAAAACTGATGAGGAAAAAAAGAAAAAGAAAAGCTTCAGTTCATAGTCAGCAGCAAGATGCAGTGTATCGAGAGCTGGCTAACCATTCTGCTTTGTGGACCTTCCAGATGAATTTGTAATAGCAAAGGAAGAATGTTTTTGGAAATAGGTGTTGCCAGCTGAAACAGAAAACACATTTCTGTAAACACCAGTTGCTGCATTTGTTTTTTTCTCAGAATTAAAACTGATGCTTTTTCTTTAACAATCCCTCATGTCTGGTCACCCTTGCATCATTTTTCTGTATTACCTGTTGCCATAGCATCCAAGTAATGATGCCAACATGATTTGAGATGAGTGAAATTGCTTGTTGCTGTGTGTTTACCTTTAACTTGGACAATGAGAATATAATGGAACGCTGTACTAGATGTTTAAAATTCACAAGGCTGAGAACTTGTCGTGGTTTAACCCCAGCCAGCAACTAAGCCCCACGCAGCCGCTCACTCACTCCCCCCCCATCCAGTGGGATGGGGGAGAAAATCAGGAAAAGAAGTAAAACTCCTGGGTTGAGATAAGAACGATTTAATAGAACAGAAAAGAAGAAACTAATAATGATAATGATAACACTAATAAAGTGACAACAGTAGTAATAAAAGGATTGAAATGTACAAATGATGCGCAGGGCAATTGCTCACCACCCGCCGACCGACACCCAGCCAGTCCCTGAGCGGCGAATCCCTGCCCCCCCACTTCCCAGTTCCTAAACTAGATGGGATGTCCCATGGTATGGAATACACTGTTGGCCAGTTTGGGTCAGGTGCCCTGGCTGGGCATGAGAAGCTGAAAAATCCTTGACTCTAGTCTAAACACTACTGAGCAACAACCGAAAACATCAGTGTTATCAACATTCTTCACATACTGAACTCAAAACATAGCACTGTACCAGGTACTAGGAAGACAGTTAACTACATCCCAGCTGAAACCAGGACAGAACTGTATTTGGGTGAGGTTATTCACATACACAACTTTATGTATATCCTTTAGCTCCCTCGTTTAGCACTATGGCTCCTTGCATGGACAGTGGAGAGAGATGCCCCAATTCAGAGAATGCATGAGCTGGCAGCCTGCTTTGCCCTCAGCCATATAGGGAGCATGAACATAAGTGTTAAACCACTCTTCTTCTTTCCTCAGCATATGTTTGAGTGGGGTTTTTTTTTGGTTTGGTTTGGGAGGTGTGTGGGGTGGTGATACTGTTTTTTGCCTTGCTTTCATAGCCTTACTAGAGCTTTTTTGTGCTAAAGGAAAAAAAAATTGTGTGGTCTTATGAGAAATATTTATTAACTTCATTTTCTTTTCTGAATGCTTTATCTTACTGTTGTTCTTGTGCATATTCTGCCTTGGAGATGATCCATATTCCTTAAAATACTTTTCCCTGAGAGCAAACACACAGCCTGCATGCAGGTTGAGGGAGGAAGGTTTTTTCCTTGTGGCCTCTAGGAACATGCAGAGGGGACGGAAAGGCTCCCTTCCATGTTGTCCTCAGGGCAGTTTGTTCCCTTGTGCCAGAGACATGGTCTCTCACTGATGAACTTCCCAACCTGTTGCTACGTGTAGTTATGATCTGTGCTGCTGCCACCAAATGACAAAAGCTTCTCTTCAACAACTGACCAGCAGAGAGAGTGTTTTTTTTGTTTCTTCTTCCAGATACTGTGTTGAACTGCAGGTCCAAACACAAGTAAAATAAATGTCTTTTCTTGCGCATGTGACCTATACTAATATTAAAAGATGAAGTGTTGTAGTAAATGAAGGCTTACAACTCTTTACATGTTGAATAGTTCTGATGGGAGCCAATGTGTGACCAGGAAGGACAAACTTCAAAATGAGTACATCGTCTACAGAGCCCTTTTAGAGAAGTCACTTCCTCTGCCTGTTTCATTGCACACACTTACTCAGCTCCTGACCTGCAAGGCAGAAAAGCTCGCTCTTGAGTCACTCAGCCCTAGACTAGGTTTACCCCACTTCAGGTTGGTTATGTTGTCAGCCTCCTCCTCCAAATCCCTTCATAATTTTTCCCATAGCTCATGCTCTTGTAGTTGGGAGTGAAGGAAACCTCAGCGTGCTGTGCTGAGCTCCAAGGAAATGCTCCCACATATTGCTCAGAGGAAGCTGGCTGGGAAGATGCCATCTTCACTGCTCTGTGTGGCTTGCTCTTTACTTCATGTCAAGGAGCTTGAGCTCAGTGTATGGGCAAGCCTGGCCACGGGACTCTGCCTTAGATTGCAGGCACTGAAATGTGCTTCCACAGGCTGCAGTCAGGACAGTCAGTTCAGAGGTGTTTCCTACAAAGCTCAGCAGAAGGTGGCACCCTCTCTTTGGGATTGGCCACTTTGGTGCCTCCAGCCTCTGCCCAGGACGCCTTGAGTAAGTGCTCTGCATAGGGAGCACCTCCCTGGATGTCTTTGGGAAGAGAGCTGGGGCCATCCAAATCCATGCTTGGTCAGCTGAGAAGGGAAGGGATGGCTGGAGCTGGGGAAAAAAGAAATGCAAGGGTTGCGTTCTAAGCATCCATCTTCCGCTGCAGCACAGCAGACTCGGCATCTGTCAGAAACCCTGGTGGAGACCAGTGTCCTTCCTGTCATTTGGATCCTGACCAAGACCACCAACGGTTTTTAAAGGTTGGTTTTTTGTAGCTGAAAGCAGCTGAAGTAGCTGCATAAATCCCACAGCCCTGGAGGAATGGCTGTGGAGTCTGTCTAGGCAAAACAAGCAGGAGAAATATTACTTCATCAACAAAGTACTAAGGATGTGTTTTGAATCCACACATCATGAGCTAATTACCAGATGGCCTGAGTACTGCAAAAGAAATGGCTCAGATGATAGATAAACATCAAAAAGAATGATTCAAAAAAGCCATCTGAAATACATTTTGTATCCTTGCTCACACGGACGACCTCCAGACATTTTGTTTTGCATCTCTGTACGTTTTGCGCTGTTAGATTTCC